TATATATATATATATATATATATATATATATATATATATATATATATATATATACACACACACACACACACACTAGACAAAAAGAATATAAATACATTATTTATTTATTTAAAAATATTATATATATATATATATATGTATATATTAATATTTATTATTTGAGCCCGCTTCGTCTTCTATATATTATTTGCCAGCTAAACCAAGCATGAAAGAAATAAGGCAACCATGCGGGCGCTGCAGTGAAGCAAAAAGCACAGAAGAAAGGAGAAGCAGCAAGCTTTCCCCTCCCCACTCCTCCCATTGCCGCCTCTCGCGGGTCTAAAGAGACGCTGTTAGCGAGGAAGAATACGACCATGCCGGTCCCTCTTGGGGACGACGCTTTCTTCCACCCTCCGCCGCCCACCAGGGTCGGCAGGAGCTTCAACGCAACCAGCAACAAGTGGGGCCCCTACTCCGGCGCCGGCGACTTCGGTGCCGGCATGGCCATCGTCCTCGCCTCGCTCTTTTCCACCGTCCTCCTCGCCCTCGCGCTCGGCGCCGCCGTCCGCCTCCTCCTCCGCCGACTCCGCCGCGGACCCCCCGACACGCCCGAGAAGCCTGCGGCGCCGCCGCCTGCAGCGTCCGGCACGCCGACGACGTGGTTCTCGGCGGCGGGGACGAAGCTGGCCGGGGCGGAGGCGGAGTGCGCCATCTGCCTGACGGAGTTCGTGGAGGGCGACGCCGTCCGGGTGCTACCGGCGTGCAGCCACGGGTTCCACGTCCGGTGCATCGACCGGTGGCTGGCCGGGAGGAGCTCCTGTCCGACCTGCCGGGCGTGCTGCGGCGTCAACTCAGACAAAGCAGAGCAGACTCAGTCTCGGTTTGTGGTGGAGAGGGTTTAGTGTCAACCCAGCAGCAGCAGCAGCTTCCGTTTGCCTGGTGTCATGATGCCAATGATGGCGTTCTGAGAATGTGTTTTCGGGTTGCGATTAATTGTTCTTCGGAATCGCCGTTTGGTAAGGACGTAACTCAAAATCAAAACAATTCAATATTAGGGTCTCGACATCATGAAAGATACAGCATCTCTGCACTGCACAAGAAGTGATACCATCTTGAAGTTGATCGTAGCGTATGAGGAGGATCTATCAATTTTAGCAAGAGTGACTCATCGTTCGGCAACCAGCGGGACCGACCGACCGTCCATGTGAGACCAAGAAGGTCCCATCCGTCTCACAGCCTATGTGGCGTCTTCTGTCGCTCGGATACGGGCCTCGTTACTGGATCCATGAGCTCGGCCGGATAAGCGAGCTACTAATGCGTCACAGCCCAAGCGGTACAGGTCAATGGGTTATATTTTGGGATAGTCTTTGAGCGTTATCTATCATCAAATGACGATTTCTAATGGGGATAAGATCCATATCACGATAAATGTGATATAAGATAAGCTCGATTCATGTGTGGTCAATTAGAATTTAACGAACGTAAATTTATCTCTTCGCGAGCGCACGCGTTTACCATGTGGAAGCAAGCGACCATCGCGCAAGATGGCGAGCCTAATGATCGGGGCCAATCCACGCCGGGACCCACTTCCCCCCCAACATTTTGCCCTTCCCAGGTGGGACCCCCTGCCTCTCTCTCTCTGTCTCTCTCTCTCTCTCTCTGTGGACGCGCACGCTGTGGAGAGGAGTCGCTGTAGTTCGGGTGTTCGCTGCCTGAGAAAGCTGCTGTGTTAAGAATGCAAACGAAAAGAAACCATAAAGAAGGCGATCGAATAGAGAAAGACGTCTAATGGTGCAACGGGCTCCTATTTTATTGGCTGAAAGCTGTAGTAGAAGCATAATGTAAGAAGGTGGAGAGTGCAGTGGGGACAATGGAAAGAAGAAACACAAGGAAAAGGCGATGGCGGGGGTGGTTCCATACACGGTGGAGCGGACAGTGGAGGTGGCTGCTCGGCTACGTCTCCTCTTCTTTTCAAGTGTATATACTCGGTACATTAGAGCACTCCTCTTCGCTTTGTTGCCCTCACAAATCAATCTCGTTATATCCTTAGATTCAAGAAACTGATGGAAAAAAGGGACATGTATACATGAAATGATCTGGACATGGATGTATATAGTAGGCCGGTAACCTCCATCTAGACATTCTATTATGATCTGAATTAAGTGCAAAAAGATGTCTTTGTAGGATAATAGGATCGTAAATATGCGGACATGTCTTTTCATTCTTTACATTCCTCGGGATTTATATAGTGGTGGGAAGGTTGTTGAAAGTGCAAGAGCTCTCAAGGAAGATTTACTTTTAGACTGCCTCTCCTCCGTTTCCGTTCTCTGCCTCTCTCCCTCTGTAGCGGGCACGCGAGGTGGGTGCAGCAGAGCCTTTCTCCTTTCTTCCTACCATCTCTTTTCATGGCAGAAAGCCTGAGATATATGTTATCCATGTCCAGTACTTGAAAAGCTATCCTCTGCTATCTATTCCTCGACCACTGCTCTCAGCTGCCTCCTATCTTTCCTCCCCTTGCGATCGGATCATTTGGCGTACCAGCAATTGTCTTTATTGTTTTGGTGTGTTTCAGGTGGTGCCAAGGTAGGTTTTGTGTTTGTTTTTGTGATCCCCTCCAGCATAAAAGCCAAGGAGAACAAAAGATCCAGATCTTGCATACTGGGATCTTACGGACGACAACAAGAAGAGAAACCGATTCAGGTGATATCAACAGGTGAGCTTTTGTATTCAGAAGAACTCGCCGATCATGGATACACTTTCCTTTGCCTTAAAATGGAAGTAAGACCGTGTTATCTCTCTCTCTCTCTCTCTCTCTCTCTCTCTTGTTTTCTGCATAAGCTCCGTGGAATATAAGATCTCCATGGTTTTTCCTCTTTAGTTTCCTTTCCTTGTATCGTTATTTCTTTTTGAGATCTTTTAATGAACGTTAATAGGCATACCGAACATATGATCAATCCCATGCAGTCTCTCTCTCATAGTGAGATCCTTAAAGCAGATTGATTCTTTAACTATTTTGCTTCTTTCCGCCTTACGAATGAATGATTATAGTGAGAAGTAGAAATTGTTGGTGAAAAGATTTCTTCCCCTTCTTTCCAAGAATTGTTAGAAGAATCAGTTCAACCGGACATAATATTTTATGTGGCGGATTAATTTGTGAACCACAGATAAGCGGAAACCAGTTATATTCAGTTGATGATGATGATATATATACTTGAAAAAGCTTGCAGATATTTGTTCTTTAGAATATTTGCGTATAATTTCTTTCGGCAATTCATCCATTATACTTGTTATAAACATCTTTATATTGCCTGCCATTCAATTATATCTGGCTACATTGCCAAGAAACAAGAAACAAATTCTTGATTTCATTCATATTGTGAGTGATATAGATCACCTTTGAAGATCTTTTCTTCCCCTTCTTTCTCTCGGGTGTCCAATAACCTCAAAAGACCATCTATCGATTTTAACTTGCGTGCAGTAAGTAACAAATATGTTGGAAACTAGAGAATAGGTGGTGCATCTAATGATCTTTGCTAGTTCGATTTGTTGGAAAACCCACATAGACACGTACCAAACGGATTCGTTCGTTGGTTGGTTCTTACATCTTTGATTTGGTTTATATATGATGCCTCGACTGCAGATGAAATATATCCGATCGAACAAATTAGTTGGATGGATATATATGATGCCTCGACTGCAGATGATCGAGCAGGCAGTGCATCAATCTACATCAATCACAACGAGCATTCCACCTCACTGAGGACATTAATCCAAGAGTTGCATGTATTAAAGAACAAGCACCCTAAGCTACATTTCCGCAGAGGAATCTTGGGCCAAGTGAGACATTTATTGCATCAACAGTAATTGTGGTTTTCATTACATCGCTTGCAGGAGACACTTCGACTATGAACGACGACATCTCCTGTGTTCCTCCGGGTTTCCGGTTCCACCCCACCGATGAAGAACTGGTAGGCTACTACCTGAGAAAGAAAGTGGCTGCAAGAAAGATCGATTTGGACGTAATAAAAGACGTCGATTTATACAAGATCGAACCTTGGGATCTTGAAGGTATGTATGTATCTACATCCGCTTCTACCGAAAAGATTTGTACAAATTTCGTCCGCTGAAAGTGTGTATGTTTGCGATCATATAGAGATATGTAAGATCGGAGCAGAAGAGCAGACTGAGTGGCACTTCTTTAGCCACAAAGACAAGAAGTATCCGACTGGAACTCGAACGAATCGAGCAACAGCAGCTGGATTCTGGAAAGCTACGGGAAGAGACAAGCCGATCTACTCCGTGCGTCGCTTGATCGGGATGAGAAAGACCTTGGTCTATTACAAGGGTCGAGCACCGAACGGGCAGAAGTCGGATTGGATCATGCATGAATACCGGCTGGAGACGAACGAAGATGGAACTCCACAGGCAAGCATTTCCTTTTTGTGCTTCGCGATCTCTCACGGCAAAGATTTTAAGTTCCAGCATACGTTACGTGCATTTTCTTTGTGATGTTTCTTCCTCGTTATCCGAAAGCCCAACACCACTTTTGCTGCTCTCTTTGGATCTTAATCAACAAAGACAATGCAACAACAAGCTCATGATCATATCATATCCTCTGACTTCATATCACAGGAAGAGGGTTGGGTGGTGTGTAGGGCGTTCAAGAAACGAGTGCCTACTGCAAGAAAAGCGAGTGATGAATTGCTGCCATGGTACGATGAACAAGCTTCCTTCATGCAAGACATCTACTCCCCAAAGAGGACTATTCCGCAGGCAGACATAGGATATCACCACCAACTCTACCCCCACAAGAGAGATATAAAGCTGCATCACCACTCACCACATGAAGCTTGTCACCAACTCCCACCATTGGAGAGCCCTAAGTTCCTCAACTACCTAAATCATGAAAGCTCTCTGCAACGATGCATCATCTCAGAGAATGAAGCTTTGCAACCCGGCCACCGATTCGGGGAAATCACGACCTGCAACGACAATGAAAATACAAGTCGAGCATCAGATCAAATGACAGATTGGAGGGTCCTCGACAAGTTCGTCGCGTCTCAGCTTAGCCATGATGTTTCAAGAGAGCCTATTTACTCGGATGAAGCTAATATTCTTCAAGCTCCTGTTGAACAACAAGTTGTTGGAGTGGAGCTTCCGCTGGCATCAGCTTCAAGCTGCCAAATCGATCCATGGAAATGAAACGAGAAGATGATTAATGGAATTAGAAATATATACGTAGCAGGCAGGTCCTCTTGTTTTGCTACAACAGTATAAATCATGTGTGTCATGATCATGGTTTTGTATGGTATATAAGCAACCATAAGATTGCAATGTCGGTGTTATTCTTGATATTGCTGGTTGTTAATGGTACAAAAATATATCTAGCAATATAAATACCATGGTAGGCCTCCGGCCAAGAATTTCTACAGCTCATCGTTTGGGATGGAACCTAATCTCTCCATTACGACACTGACTGACATCATCTATCTGCTCCTCGTAATGCGCCTGGCCAAATTCACTAGCTAACTCGAAAATATTACCTCCATTAATCGTTTCATGCAACGATGAAAACACATTGCAAAAGTTCATCATGATAAGGTAAACATTATTTCACTGTGACAAATACGAACAAAAACATGAATGCTAACTAAAGCTCACGCAAAAGCAATACATGAGTGTTACAGATCATATTAACGACAAAAATAGAACGACCTTAATGAATCCAATAACATGCACGATCAAAAAGAGCATCATCATATCATCCGCGAACTAGTTATCATAAGTTAATATACAATGATTTCAAGACTCGGTCGATGTTACATGTATCAATGTGCTGAAGAACTACTGGAAAGTAGGAGTTTGTCGTAGCAAAATAATGATGGTAGCATGTGATACCTGTTGTGCACAAGGCAAAGCTGGTGGCATGACCAACACAGGTATATACATCCTTAGCATTCGATGGTCCTTTTAAGCAGGCCGATAGATGGAGAGTACCTACAGATCGTCGTAACACAAAAGCTTTCCCTCCTAAACTATGATCACGTGAGACTATAACTCGAATCCACACCATTCGCACATCGCTAAACAAAATCTCTTCTCACTTGTAATGAGATAAAGACTAGTATACGAATCCTAAATCTAACCTGTTTTCAACAACTCCTCCTCCTACCAGTCGAGCTCGACAGCAGTGAGACAAGTTTTGAGTTCACAGCCTTGGCAACATCTATGCAGACTTTTGGCACTTCTTCTGGAAAGCTGCTGTAGGAACCACCACCAGAATCGAGAGTAACGAAGCATCAGAAGCTGAAAGGCTTGCAGCAGAGACCGTCCGACAACGAAGAGACACTCTAACACGAGAAGATGGATTCGATGTAAAGATCGGTAGAACAATATTGCTTCCAACTTACCATTTGGGTTTCATTTCCATGGACTGGACGAATCCACAGGAATCCGGCAGAATCGTCTCGCTCAGCCCTTTAAAGCCGATAAACTATCTCTGTCTATATATCACACAAACACAGACACAGACACAGACACATCTCAAAGTGGACATGAGATGCATGCAGTATAAAAGCATGGGACGTGGGAGAATAATTAGAGTTGATGGGAGTAAGCGTTGTTGTTTGTAGACGAAGATAACATGATGTCTGCGTGAAAGCTCTCATGTGACGGCTCATCATGCAACCAAACCCCATCTCTTCTTTCCTTCCACGCCTTGTTCTGACCCACCTTAAGCCCGCTCTCGGGGGTCTCTAATCAATCATCTTCCTCCCCTTCACGTTTCGTCTCTCTGTCTAAGTATAGATTTATTGGCTGACAAAGTGGTGGCCCACCTGACAATCCATACAACGTAATTAGAGCATCCAAACACTGTAATCATCCACACTGACTCTTTTAAGACGGTTTTCTGCCTATTTAATTGCATCACTTATGGTATATATATATATATATATATATATATATATATATATATATATATATATATATCCACTTGTCAGCCACCAAAGATGAAAGCTGTTGCAAAGGGAACCCACTATGGAGACAATGCTTCTGACTTCAGTGACTGAGGCTTGCTTGTTATGAGCCAAAGAGCACGGGAAGCAAAGCTCATGATATTGCTTTTGATCGAACACCTTCTGCCCTATCCCAAGCTTTACTTTGGTGTCATGTCACTCTGAGGTTTGAGCTTTTGTCCCCATTGACTTGTCCAGGCAAATGCCTTTCTCCTTGTTGCTCTTGTGCATCGGAAGGTGTCATTTTATGCAGTAAATATGGTGGTTTGTGTAGTTCTTCTGGATCAGTACAATACCAATCACATATATCTAAATCATGATATTTGCTTTTGAAATGAAGTGTTAATTGTTATATAACAATTAAAATGCAAATAATTATTTTAGGCCTCTCAAATATTATGTTGAAAACAAACACTCGGTAGACGATCTTTCGGGTAAAGAAGACTTTTCACTTTTCCTTTAAAAATGATATTGACTTTATAAATCCATCTACCGCTGTTGCCATGATACTGTGATGAGACTATGCCTAAATCAACCACATGTGATCACATATATTATATATGAGTAAGTAGAAACATAGTATCGGAACATATTGCATATGTCACAGCATCTCTTTAAGAAAATTGAATGTCTCGCTCCGTGATGATTTTTACTTGAAATTGGCCTCAAAATAGATTTTTTTAATTATTTTTGTGATCAAATACTTTTTTTTTTTTATGACGTTATGTATCTACACCAAATAACTCAGATTTATACTGTCTTTTCTCCCAGAATGTTTAAATTCCACGTGATAATATTATTAACCATACAACTTTTCATTTTCCTTTTGCTTTTGTAACTAGTTCTATTTGTAGTTTTCTAACAAAAGCCAAGGAATGGGAGGGATGGAGGAGGAAAAAAAAAAAAAAAGAGAAAAAGAGGGAAAAAAAGTGATAAGAGTCACAAATACCATCGGCTAATGAGTCGATGCAGTGAATATACCGTGAGTCGATCCGGTTGATTCACTACCGAAGGTGTAGGTGCCTTCTAATGACTCTTCACTGATGTGAAGTGTAGACATGGTGGACTGTTAAGAGAGGTCTGTTAGGGGGATGGTTCATCGAGGGTGATCTGGCCTTAGAACAGAGAGGTCGGGTAGACGAATAGAGGTCTCCTTTGCTACGGGATCATCTCCTGGTGGCAGGGTCATATCCTGGACGTCGATAGTCCTGCACAATAGGTCTACACTAAGGGCTTCCCGGCTCGACCTTTTCGATGCTTAAGTCGACGAGAGGCAAAGAGGGAGGAAGACAATAGTATAAGCTGTGTAAACAAGAGAATAGAGAGTAAAGAGGCTATTGCCTGCCCTCTTAGCTTAGCCTATGGTATGGCCTTTATACTTGGGCGTCGAGCGATTTGGTCATGCATTAGCCAAGGCCCTCTTTACCCTAAACGATGGAGGCCTTAATAAGGGCTGCTTACTGTCAATCATTAATGCAGAGGGATGGCTCGAGATGTCAACCAAGAGGTGCTTAGGGAAGTTAAGGTGTGCTGTCATTCATGATCGCTGGTTCTCATGCCTTTATTATTTGTTAGTGCACGTAGTGGAGAGAGCTAAAGGGTGTCAATATTATCCCTATCACTGTCTCCTCCGGGAGGTGTGTTTCGGGGCTTCACGGGGGGCTCTCAAAGCATATCATTTTGCTTATATTATTGCCCACTTGCATGAGCATTGTTTTTGCTATGAGATCTTCAGTGAGGCAGTGGTGGTTGGTGCGAGGCCTGCTAAGGTGGACGGTGCTCTCGGGACATTTGTAGGAGTGACGAATGTTGAACTAACGGGTTTGGCTAGCCTACTTTTGAGCGGGAGGATAGATTCGTTATGGGACTTGGCTCGACTGTGTTTAACAAGAGGTTGAACCTATCATGGGGTATGGCTTGATCGTCGTAGAATGTCTTTTGACCGAGATACATGGCTTGAGAGTGGGTATGCTTAGTTGAGGTGCACAACTCAAGTGCTCCTGCGATGTAGTAGATCTTCTAGCTGAGGTGCACAACTTGGGAGTGGGTCTGCTCGGCAGAGGTGCACGACTTGGGTGCTCGTCTACTGTAGCGGGTCTTTCTAGCCAAGGTGCGCGATTCAAGAGTGGGTTTGCTTGGCCGATGTATAGGCCTCGAGTCTTCTTGCTAAGGTGCAAGGCTCGAGAGTGGGTTTGCTCAATTGAAGTGTAGGCCTTGGGCCTTCTTACCGAGGTGCATAGCTCAGGAGTAGGTTTACTCAACTGAGGTGCATAGCTCGGAAGCGGGTTTGCTTAGTTGAGGTATAGGCTTCGGGTCTTCTTACCAAGGTGCATAGCTTGGGAGTAAGTTTGCTCAACCGAGGTGCATGACTCAAGTCTTCTAGTATCAAAATGTCATTGTCCTTGATGCCATGGCATGAGAGTTGGCATAACTTGGTGCGTTCCCGATCATGCTAGGGTGTCCATGTAGGCGTTCCGAGGTAGAGATGAGGGCAAGATTGGAGCGACAATGGGTGTCTCCTAGGCCAGCCTGGGGCGAAGCTAGGATTGCCTTTGGCATTGGGTCCTTCGGTTGTCCTTGGCATTGGAGCTAGCTCACCTGTGAACAAAGGAAGCTGAACAAAGGCTCGTGGAGGCCCAGAGAGCGCTGTTGAGGCTGAGGCGAGGGCACAGGGCCACTGAGGCCTAGATCCCTAGGCTATCCCTTACGCTAGAGCTGGCTCACCTGTGAGCAAAGTAAGCCGAGTAGAGGCTCAAGGAGGCCTAATGGGTGTTGTCGAGGATAAGGCGATGCACCATAGTAAGGGAGCCAAGGAGCTGTTGTGGGCCGTTGTTGATGCTCCGGCTCAACACTAGGAGAGAGCGCGTCGGGGTCGCCATAGAGGCCCCCAAGGGTTGCTAGCAGGTGAGGCCTAGGAGGGCCTCCAATTAGATGAGCAGGTGTCTAAGAGGGATAGTCTCAAGTCATCAAACTGACACCAATAGTGTTCAAGGGTTGGTGCCCCTCTACAAGGGGTTTTGGACCACGAGTAACGCTTACTTGCTAAAGCATTTATTGAGAGTAGTAGTAGAAGGATATTTCTACGATATTCATGCTAGTCATAGGTGCTCTATAAGTCAATCACATGAGTGATGACACGTGTAACAGGCTACATACTTTTTTTATTTATTATTATTTATTAATATTTTTCTCACTTTACATTACATATATTGTGATGTTTGTAGATCTGTGCAATAAGAATCAGATCATGATGAGATCGCAATAATAAGACCAATTCATCTTTAAACATGGATCCTAAATAATCTCAATCATATGTTACTTAAGAGAAACATCGAGATATCCGAACAGACTGATGTGTTATATACCCGTTTATATGATAAATGTGGCTGGTCTTAAAGCTGCTCGTGTGGGGACACCGAGGATATAGTGTAGGTACTTATTAAAGAATAAGTTCACTGATTGATTCGCTCGTAGAATGTTGGATGGCTAATAATGCCTCATTTGTTAGACAGTGATTCCGTCATCCTAATTATATATCTGGTCCTTAGACTTTAGACACTAAGAATATTGTATGAGTACTTCACTTTTTAATACCGGACTTATAGATCTGGAAGTTACATATCTAGCACAATTGGTTATTGGGAATAGCAACCAACCTTACAAGGGTTATTGAGTATTGATAGAGGATCATCTGCTCTCGGTATTATCAGAGGAATATCCTATATATTCTTGCTTAAGCAAATCCCTGATCAAGGTCATTCGGAGTGAGAGAGAAAAAGTTCTTCGAGAAAATCCAATTAGAATGATAAAGTGGAAACTGTATAGATTTGGCAGTACCATGCCCGATATACGGTCTATGTGATATTAGATGGATAAAAAACTATAAATACATAATAATAGAGGACAAACATATTTTATTAAATTCCCTTTATCATTTTAGGAGTAGTACGATGAATATCCTCTTCTCAAATAGGTACGATGAATCGGAGAACTTGTTAAGAGCAATTATTAAATATAGGTTGGGAGGAAGAGATTTTTCTAGATAATGAACTCAAATCTATGATTGGCCTCTACGCTCTTTCCGTGGGGTGATCGCAACAGATCTTCTGCCCCAATGAAACTCCTTCCATCTTCATGGCAAACATGTTTAAAGAATATTAAATGGTCCATCATCTCCTTCACCGACCGGATTGCTGCGGATCCTAATGTTTTTCATTTGCCGATCAGCATTCATGCGTGTCGCTAACTAGAGGGCATACGCATTAAGCGAGAACTTTTCTCTTGAGTTTGTAGAAAGAAGGCACAAGCTAAAACAACTTGAGTCGATAGCTTGCTTGCGAAACTTTTTCCTAAATTCTCAGCAAAAAGCAAAAAGAAAAAAAGAAAGAACATAGAACAAGCCTGGTGGTAAATGACCAACAATGCATCTTGTTTACAGAGCAAAAGTTTTTACAAGTAGCAATGGTACAAAAAAAAAAAAAAAAACCTAAAGAACCTTGCGGACATACCATGTCTCACCCCCAAATACTTTGACAATAACTCAAAAGTCGCATTGCTAGATGATCAGTAATCCTTTGCCGCTAAATAAGCAAATGATCACACAACAACCTCGAAGGTGATTTTGATACAAGCACACAACAAAGAAACTCAGGCACCGATAACAGATATGCAAACAACCTAAACTCCTAGAATGGAAAAGCTAATTGAAACAAGTCAGGTTTTCTTAAAAGGGTTAAAAATGACACATCAAATACACTTCAATCTAACCTGGACTAATTACGGGAAAATGACAATTGAAGCAAAAATCATCATGCATGTAAGCAGCATGGCCCCAACATATGTGGTGAAAGAAGATGAACCCTGAGAGCCATGTGGAGTCTGCTGCCTGCAAAATTTCAACAACAAGAAATTGGATGCATAAAGCAGTTTAAGAACATTATTCCAAATTTAGGCTGGAACAGATGGTGTTAAGAATAATTTAAACATACTTCTGCTTATCTTTGAGGAGTCCGCAATAGAGAACATTATCTGGCATCGGCAACTCTGTCTTGTTAGAATTATCTTCCGGATTGACAACTCTTACATACACCTCCTGCCCAAGGTACCATGTATCAAGATTCTCCACACGCACATTCCAAAAACCTACGCTGTCCAATGAAACTAGTACAGCAGTCCATGCCCCTGGGAAAACCTGAAAAAGAAAAAAAGGGTGCACAATGTTATCATCAGAGATCATTGTGAGCAGCGAACTGGTATGGCATGATTTTGTAACTGAGAAGAGGAGCCCCAAATTAGGAGATGAACAAGCGATAGCTAAGAATATATTTTGGTTGATAAAATTGTTATTTTGAAGAACTTCCATCCAGTTGAGTTGAAACAAGTACTACAAGAAAAATTGTTTCCAAAGGATGAGATGAGAACATTACAGAAGAATATTTATTAATGGATGACACAACATGATCATATTTCTTATTCAAAAGCTGCCAGAAGACCTCAAAAATCAGGAAGCTGGAAAGCTATCTAATTAGACAAAACAAACTCCACCTTCTTAATCACAATTTAGGACAAGACAAAGTTAAATTTCTATTTTGACCTCCACCAAAATTTATTTTTCTGGCCTTTCTTAGACCACAGTTTCAGCTTTAGGAAAAAAATTGTAGATTGTTGGATAACTTTGCTTTCAAATGGACACGGGGAGGTGGCAAGTGTTTTTGCTTCTCCATGAAACTTCTGACCATAAGTAACTAAGCTGAAAAACATATCAACAACAATTGGAAAGCCTATCCCCACAGTTATATATCTAAAAGTGTATCAAGTAAATTGTAAGGTCCATCATAGAGTGTGAATAACCCTGTGGCCACAACTGTAGGGCCAACTTTGTGACCCTAGGGTGATTGACCTTATTATGGCAGCATAAATGGGGTCATATAGGAGTACATAATAAGTGGGTATGAAACACAGCATCAGAGGATTGGAACCCCAAGGCAGCGAATGACTGTGGACAACCACCATCTGGAGATGCAGATGTGGCTGCCAAATGTTGCCACAGAAGATCTAATCTCCGGTAAGGCACGTAAATCCATAGGCCACTAGATCTGAATAAAAGAATTCATTTTGTAGCATCACAAAACTGACAGAAAAAAAAAGCCAAAAAGACACATCAGAACATGTCAAACAGAGAAACTAAAAGAAAACTCATGAACCAAAAAAATCAATATCAGAGATCAGTGACAAGAAATTAGAAGATGAAGTATTGCATATCAATAAGTAGTTTTCTACAATAAAGTAGATAGCATTAATCTGAAACTAGAAGCCTGGAGGAGAACAGGAAAAATCCAGATTCAAATTATACAATTTGATTAATTTATCAAATTGTTTGAAGAGAAAATCCAGAATTTTATGTACACTTACAGAATTTTATGCACTTAAGTGTATGCCAAATTTTGGTTTCCGTATGCCCATATCATCATATCATATTTGAAGTAACTTCACAGACGAGGTATAACAAAAACACACATCTCAACTACTTGGGAGGCAAAAATAATCACATAATATGTGAACAAATTCTTGTCACATCAATGCAAGAAAATCAACAAGCACAAGTGAAGGCAGGTAATATATTCAAATATTTTCATCAGTTAGGAGAACCAATAGACTTTGAGACTAACTTTGAATTCAGCAAAATGAATTTTCATTTGAAAGACTTTTGCAGTAAAAGAGGAAAAAAGAGAGTATATTGGTATTTAAAGAAACAAGGAAATCCTCTAGCAAAGACCTGTGTTGTGCAGCGAGAAACACCATCCCACTTATTGTATGTGCCCCTACTGTTCTCTGTCCATTCTCCATAATCCATCCTGTGTTAATTAAAAACCAATGTCACATATAGAAAGATAAACAGCATAAATACAGTTTCCTATAGCTAGTATGCAACACTAAATGTTGTCCATACCCCACCACAAAGAATGCATATCCATCCATGTGGTATGTCTGAACTGTGGTGTCATTGTTTTGGAATATAATTTCCATGAAACCCCTATATGTGCCATTGATTACAGATGTTCCAAGTCGAGGTGGTCTATCAAGTGGTCTAGTGGGAAAATCAAGTGTATAAACTCCCTGCTTGTCAAACTCGTCAGCAAGCCTCAAAGGAGTAGCCGGAGGAGAATATGATATACCACTAAGTACAGTCCTGCGTTTTCCATTGATGATCACAGGAGGCATATTTCTCAAAACATACACCTGGGTAACATTGATCGAACCATATCTGAATGATCCTTGAGGATTAGGACGTGCAGCACCAGCACTAACATTTGTCCTGAAAAGATATGAGAACAATAAGCTGCATGAAAAAAGTTGATAGTAACAACTGCAGATTTGATTTTAGAGTATACTACATAAACCAACTGTAGATTCCTTCTGAAGACCAATGAATAAGCAGCCAGCAAGAAATTCCCAAGAGAATAAAGAGTTCACATTACAAATTCCAACATCAAAAAAGCCAAAACGAGGAAAATATGGGCTCTTTTTGCACAACCAGATACAATTGCAGAGCATATTACAAAAGGAATACAGCATATTATCACGAAAGCTGGAATATTTTAGATATGAAATTGTACACAAACCTGATAGATCTAGCCTGATTCATCGAAAAGGTTTTATCATAGAAATCATTAGGAGGATCAGGAAGAGGACCAGCTGCTTTTCCCTTGGAATTTGAATAGTGTAAAATGGCAACACCAGTAACTCTGGTCCATAGCGACTCATTCACAAACCTAGCACTTGCCACAATATAGTAGTCACTGCTTGCATTCTGATCCATGGTAATCAAGAAGGAATATGATTGACCCACATGGATATCGAGGTTGGTATAATTCTGTTGCACGGTATATGTTCCTTCTGTCTCCGCAAGAAGCAGGTTGTGATTTTGAATTCTAAAGTTCAAGCTAGTTGAGATGCCAACGTTGTGAACACGAAAACGATATGTTTTGCCTGTTTCAAGGAAACAAATTTCTCAGATGTCATATAAAACTAATACAACAAAAAAGGACCTATCAATGAGAAGATAAAGAAAATATAAATCAACTATGGTCCAACAGACTTGGGAAATAAGATCATCTACAGAGAACAAGAGAACTCTCGAATTGGATCTAGAATAATGTTTCCAGTTGCTCCCAGACTAGATGCATTCTATGTGGCTTTTTTGTGGAAAAAAAAAAGACTCGATCAGAAAGCATTTCCTTCATAAATATGTACGGAATTAGCTGATATGGCTTTTAATCTAACAAACCAAGTATGGTGGTTAAAGCTGGATACTGCATAACTGGAAGTGCATCAGAGGCATGCACATAAAACCTTTGTGTGATTTCACCAACTCTAATTTCTCACCACTACAACTAAAATCTAAAATTATTTGTCACGATCACAAAGAAAACTCATATAAGTGTGCATCAATGGAATTAAACAACATCTGACCAAACAATGTTTTCTTATAAATAATATAAGCTTTTAGCTCACAGTGATCCTGGTGTTACAGAGAATTTAACCACAATGTTGGAATGAATTACAACCAGGTCCAAACTTACTGCCTAAAGTTCAAAATCAATACCTAAAAATATAAATCAACACCTCTACATGAAATAATTCATCGTATATCAGCTTTTGATTTTTTAAGTTTTGCTGCTATTATCGAGAAGACCAAACTCCTGAGCAGTTCAAGCATGCAAACTGAGCAACCTCCTCAGGGAAATCAAAACTAAGGACCTGACTTAAAATTTTTTTTATTCATAATTGATGGTTTGGTAATCACTAACAATTACCAGGTTCGACGTTGATGGTTTCATAATCGATGCCATCAGGAACAAGTGTGGTATTGTAACGGTATGGCCCCTTCCCATTCATCAGAACACCATCAGGCATACCAAGGTCCTTCCCCTCATCAAGGGCCTTCCTCAGGTCCTGCACACAGGATCCCACCAAGCTAAGGTCATGCGGATTACATGCTTACGGGTAGAGAGATGGACAGCAGTTGAGAATCCACTGACCTTGTGGCTCTTGATGTACCAATCCCCGGTGAAGAGAGTGATGTCCCCATCCGGGTTCCCAAAGGGCACAGCAATGACTTCACGGTTATTGACGGTGATCCCACCAAAGCCACCGGCAGCACGCTGGAGGCCAAGGGAGGGAAAGTAGAAGAAGCTGCCGATCTGGTCCTTCACTTGGAACTGGTAGGTCCAGTTCCAGCCCTGGGGGATGGGGCAGTTGGTGCCCAGCACCCCGTCCTGCCAACAGTTCTTTCGGTGCTGGATTCCGTCCCTAGATCCAAGCAGACCGACCACACAGACAAAACACCAATCAACAGCAAGAAACCAAACTCAAAACCTCGTTCCTTGTCCCCGAGCACAGCAAGCATATAAACGAACATCATATCGACATCAAAAGACCACCCTCCAAACCCTCAAAACAACCAAGTCCAAAAGAACAAGAACAAAAAGAAAAAGAACACCATGTCGCACCAAATCAACGCCAAGAACCCGAACTTGGGATCCCCTTCAAACCCTCGAAGGGAAAAGGGGAGGGATCAAGAAAGAAAAAGGAGAAGGAAAAAAAAAAAAAAAGAAGCCATGGCATCAAAAACACAACTTGAAAGCCTACTTTTAAACCCTCGAAAGAAACAGCGAAAAAAGAGGATCAAGAACAGGAGTCAAGAAAAGATACCATGTGAGTAGTAAGGGCTCATCCAAGCTGTTGAGCACGTTCACGACCACATTCCAGTTGGTGGTAACGTTCATAACGGGGCCGGGAAATTGCTTCGAGATCGCGATCACCTGCCATCAATCGCCGCCATCACAAATCAACGGTGACTACAAAATCCGAAAGGGAAAAGAACCCAACAAAACCCTAAGAATCACCCTACGAGTCGTGCGCCGCTTCCACCTAAACCCGCTGAAGAAAAGCTAATCGTTTCCACGTACTAAAGTAATGAAGAAGCATCACCTCATGTTCTTCTTCAGATCAAGCAGATTTCTAGATCTAAAAAGTAAACGTGAAGGGAAAAGAGGTGCAAACACAAGCGGGAGAAGTAACCTGCTGGGGGACGCCGAGAGGGGAAGCGGTGATGTAGGAGACATCGAAGTCGAAGTAAGCGAAGGGGTCGCCGGCGGAGCAGGGGCCAACCAAGGTGGCGGCGCACACGACCGCCACCGCCACCGCCACCCACCCGGCGCTCGACCTCCACCGGCCCAGCATTTCCTTCTGTCCCCCTAGACTAGTGATTCTTGTCTATTTTCGTACAAGAGCTGCCTCAGAGAACTCTTCTTCCGCCGTTGACAAACCAAGTTGCTTGCCAGGGAATCGGAGAGCAGTTGACAGACGAGGGAGATCAGCGACAGCAGCGGTAGTGTATCCTCTCGCTAATCACTCTCTCTTTCTGCCTCGCTCGCCGGTTGGAATGGAAGGTTGTACTCCCAACACCGCCTGTCTTATGCTCACCTCCGAAGACTCGTTAGTGAAATGGGGAGCGTCTTCTTTTGGTTGCGGTTAGGGGAGAGAGAGAGAGAGAGAGAGATTAATAGGGTTTTCCTCGAGTGCTGGTATTATTATGTATGGAGGAGATTGAAAGAGAAGGGAGTTGCGCTGTTATTATTCTACTAAATCAATAAGGACAAGAAATATTATTGTGTTAATTTATTTACTTATGTGAGGTCTCATAAAAAAGGAAGGGGATGGATGGATTTAAATGCTGGCTTGGCTTGGCTTGGCTGGGCTTTTGAAACGTTTAGGTATTCCTGGAAAGACGTGTACTTCTTGTAATTTTTTATTGATTAAAGAAAACAGGGAGAGTGTGTTGTGTGTGTGTGTGTGTGGCGAGAGCGGGAGGCGCGGGCCAGCGAATCGCCAACGCACGCAGGCTAGTGGAGCGGAACTGATTTGTACTCCGATCAGCTGTTCTTCTCGAACAGCGGAAGCGTAAGAAGCCACCGGTTACATGCCACTTGAGTTTTCGACGTCAGGATTTCATCGTTAACCTTGAGATCGCCCTGTTTTGGTGACGGAAGCTCCGCAGCTGCTGCCGTATGCATTCAAAGAGGGGCACATGGAACGAGGAGGGAAAAAGCGCGCGGGTCCCGAGTGGAGGAGGGCTTCGGAACGCGTCACGACTGAATCACCCAAGGTAATTTCCCCGGGTGATGTAACGTCAGAACATGGGACAGACCCACATCACCCGAGAAATTTTACCGAGCTGAGTCGGTCAGGGCCGGCGCTCCTGCGGCCGTCGCTCGAGTCTTGTCGTCTCCAAATTAAAAACGCGACGAGGGAGTGGACCGTTACAAAAAGCATCCAAAGTTGCAATTTGAAACCCTCGTCGTGGTTGCCTCGATTTGATCCCGTGACGGTCCCTTTTAATTGGCAGGACAATAGGAATGATGTCGATCCATCATCACGATGATTAAAAACATGAACAACGCTAGGGATTGCCAAAATTCGCGATTCGTTTGGCCTGGGAATCACTGATTCGAAAGAACATCTTCCCATTGTTCGTCCGTGCATATCCCAATTTGATCTACAATATGTTTAAATATTTTACGTGGATTAAAATTATATAAGAAACAGCACACATTATTGTTAATTATTTAATCGATTTTAGAATTGATACGGAGAAAATGACTTGATCGATATCTCAACTTTATATGATCGATATATAACTGACATCTTAATATATATTGATATTTCAACACCACATAATTGATAGATGATCGATATCTTAGTATCACACAATCGACACATGGTTTATACCTCAGTGTCACAAACGATCGAATCAATTAGATCATTATTATATTTTAGATTCGATGCAACAAATGATGATCAAGTTTGGGAGAAATAATCGACTATACCCGATAAGTATTGATCGCTGGAGTAATGACTAACAAATCTATATACTATTTTAAGTATTTTAAGAATATTTATTGGGAATACAGTTTTTATAGAGTATGAAACTATCAAAATTGCATGAACAAGCGATTGACCAAGATCGAACTGATTTTGAAGAAAGTATCGATTGGTTTTGAATCAGCATCCACTTTGGATGATAAAAAATTGACTTAATATAAATAAATATAGATAAAAAATATGTTTATTAAGATTTAAATGAGTTCATATATCTAAGTGGTTAATGACGTTAGATAATATATGCAAATTATGACATTAATTGTGAGTAGGCATTTTTTTTTGCTCGACGATGATTGCGTTGTTTAGATCGCAACGCAAGCGTTGCGTTTTGTGCACGATCGGGCAGAGGAGACATATCCATGTATCGTCATCGACGAGAGAGGATATATATATATATATATATGAACTATTAATTACGATTACGATGCTGATGCTGATGGGTTCGTGTACATGACCCGATCTCATTGTCGGATAAAGTAAAACCAGATATAATCGAGTCGAATGGAGCTGATGAACCGAGAGAATGATGTAATTTGAAATCACCATTCGTTCGTTCGTTCGCACCTGTTTGGATTTCTTGGGGTGCCTAATCGGCTTCTCTTTTGGATTTGTGTAATGGCGATAGGCAAAGGGGAAAGAAGGTTGGCGCACAGCTCGGCTTTCTTTTTGACTAAAAAGAGCACGTCGTTGAATGAATCAAAAGAAAGCTGAACTCACACACATACTTTTTTGGTCATGCGACTGACTCCAAGTGCTACAGAGAAAGCTCAAAGATGCCTCCCTCGTTATCGATTCATGAGGAACGTGAAAGTGTGAGCCGTCCCCCATCTTCCCAGTCTTTAAATATATTTGGGCTCGCGCCCTCTCTCAAGCTTGCCACAATTACCGGCTGGAATATAGGGCGGATGGGATGGGTGCGCATGGGCCCACCACCGTCCACGTCTTGTTTGCACCGTCGTTGTTGTTCTGTTGACAAAACACACATACGTAGCTGCCGAACAAACGGGAATAATGCTGAAAGTAAGTAACGACGACATCTTCGGATGTGGTCCGTCTCAAATCAGCTTGTTTTATTTATCCTACGATAATTAATGAGTTGCACCGACAGATTGATTCGACCAGGGTTTAACAACAAAGGTGATAATAGATTAAAAAAAAAAGGGTGCAGTTGTGGCTTCCTGTTGAGGCTATTAGTTAGTGCACCGCACCTAATACGATACGGGCATAATATTAATTTCTCTGGTAGAAGATCCAGTCAGCAGTTGTGGAATCTGAGTGTATATAATACCAGTCATAGTATTATTTCGAAACTTGATTCTTATTGTCAATGATGATTGAATCTCTTTCCTCCTCAAGACAACTTACGAAATGCTTACAGTCTGTCAAAACCCTGAAGGCTATATATGATGTATGTATATCTATCTATATCTATATGATGATGATGATGATGATGATCAGCACCACCTCCCAATCGAAGCAGACAGTCTGAATGGAATATTGGACTTTGAACTCACCAAATACATATACACCGCCCACCTTACGCGATCAATCACATGGGCAGACTGCCACCGACACGTGGGCGAAGGTTCCACAATCTCTCTCAGCATGTGGAGTGTGATATGGTGGTGGGAAGTCAAACGGATTTATGGAGTTGGGTTGGAAATGCTGCATGCTTTCATTTCACACATCTAAATCAGTAATGCAATGTATTGTCGGTTCAAGTGGTTTGCATGCAATCGATCACGATGTCACTAGCGCTTGGGGAGAAGCAACCCATCGGAGTTCCTACTTCCTCCTCTATGTGAATAAACATTTAACGCACACTTATTAGTGCATCAAAGGCTGGCTTCATTCAGTTCGAGGAAATATGTGTGTGTGTGCGTGGCACGTTTCAGTTCGCTATTTTTTTAATTTAATTGAAGTAATAGTTAATAAAATGTCTGATTAATTAAGTATTGAAATAAAGAAAATGTATGCAATGTTGATCTGATTCACAAGTTATATATAAATATTTTTATTTTATTTATGAAACATGATCTTGGAGAAAAAGGAAATGAACATCCCAGGATGTCATGAAAAGAAGGTACCAAGAATTATGTTATTAAGATGATAGCCAAAACAGTGTGCAAATTTATGAAAAAGACATTTAAAAAAAAAAAAAAAAAAAACAGTTGGGCGTTCAAATTCCATAGGCCGGCTTATATTATTCACTTACCAAAAGGACAGCTCACCCTTGCTGTCAAATAAGCTTAAACATTGGGTGGTGGCCAAATCTTCCCAAAAAGTTCTTCCACACGCCTTGTTTGGTTCACATACCCTTCAAGCCCAGCAGCTACAAGCTCTTCAGCAGCTGGTCCCATTGCAGATGCAAAGCTCCTTTGATCCCACTTCACAAGCTGTAGCATGAGAGAAACGAAATGTGTGAAGCAGTTTCTCATGTCCACAAGGGTCTTTGCGTATGGATGAATTTTTTAAGTGAATGATTCTGAGCTTAGCATTTCACAAGAACAGGACACAGTAATATATTGGTGTCGATAAAAATTCCCTTGTTGAATGTAAGTCAACAAGTCTCAGGTAAGTAATGCAGAGAATATGTGTGATCATTTTTTTTTATAAGACGAACTTCATTTCTTCTCGCAGAGCACATGATGCAAGTAAAATTGACAAGAAAACAAGACAAAATAACATTGCCATGGAACTTAAATGACTTCATAACGTCTTTTGCAGAGGAAAAAATTTTGAAACTTCATGTAAGAATCCATGTAAAATTCAAACCAGCTATGTTGTTGGTCTTGTACTGCATTACAGTAGAATAATCCTAAATTAAGCATATGATATCTATAAATTGTTTCTCTCACTTTACTAAGAGATATTTGTTCCCTTCTGAAGTTCCTCAAAAGGGACATGTATAGACAATGAATAGGGAAAGAAAACACTT